TGGCACCCACAGGAGGAACCCCAGGAATGGTGCCTGTACCTTGCCATTCCTCCTATGTTTCCCACCAGCTTTTTGGTTCTCACGTGGAGGAGGCAGAGGTGAAGCCCTGTTTCAATTTCCCAGGCTGTTCTGCAGCGCCAGCCTTGGGGCCTGTCCCAGAGGCACTGCTTCCCTGTGGGACTTTCCTCAGTGCCCATGAGCTGGAGATGGGTTTCAATTTCTATCTTTCACAGAGGCAGGAGAAACCAAGACCCAGCAGCGGCTTTGAATTTGATCACAGACACACACTTCAGCAGTACTCAGGCCTCTTTATTCTGAAGGTACCTTTAATCTACAGAGGATGGGTCATTCTGCTGATATTCACAGTTTCTTTACTGGCTACCTGGAGAGAGACTCAAGTTCTGGGATGCTAAAACCTCAGTGTGCAGGTACTGGTGAGGCTCCGGCCCAGCCAACTTTCCAGTCACCATTTTTCCAACTGGCCCATGGTCCCTTGAGCCCCACCTGGACTGGATGGCCCATGGTCTGGTCACAAGTATGTGATCTCTATGACATTAGGCTCGGCGTTCGTGCAGGGAAGGTGGTGCTTACATGAGCACTGGTAGCTTTCCCCATCCGTGTCCTTGCTGTCCAGCTCTCTCTGGCAGTACTGAACTGACTGCTTCTTCTGGGAGCCCAGCTTCTTCCAGTCCGTGAGGTGCACGCCGCCATCCAAGTCCTGCGGCATGGGCTCATGGTACAGGGTGATCTGGATGGTGCGGAGATGAGGGCCGTAGTGCACCACAATGATAATGAAGACGGCCAGGAGGACAAAGATGACGACGATGACGGATATCATGGGCAGCGCATCGGACTTCTTTGTCACGCTCTTAACAATAGAGACGGGAGTGAATGCGTCTGAGCCTTGGGGCTCGGGCTGTCTCAGCTGGCTGCTGGGGGCAGAGATGTTCATGGCTCAGCAGGCTAACCTGGGGCAGAGAAACACCGGTTGGAAATGGGTTATCACCAAGCAGAGGCTGTCTCACGTGCGCCCTCATCTTCTGTCCTTGATTACGTGGCTCCTGCTTGTCACCCCTCTGCAATTGCAGCTCCCTGGGCACAGGGCCCCAGGGGCAGGCACTGGATGTGCACTTCTTCAGTGCATGCTAGGGGAAAGATCAGGCCTGGGACAAGGACTCTGGGCACTGGGCAAACCCCAAACCCTTCTGAACGAATCACAGTTCTCTGGGCTAGGAACAGACATGACAAGTACTTCATCCCTCCTGAGCGCAGCACTCCACAGATGCCCAGCGTGCCCAGGCAGCTACTTGGGTTCAAGCAGACTAAGCTTCAATGCCTGGTATGCAGGCTCCTATAAAGACCTCATCATGATAAGCCCGCTCCAGCCTGATTTATTCCTCAAAGAGTTCATGATGAAGAGGAGAGTGAAGCTCTGCAGAAGCCACCTGGGCCATGCTGTCTGTTTCCACTAGCAGTGCTGAGCCACTGGCAGAATTTGAGGTTAAATGTGGGGCTGTAGGGATGGTGGCCTGGACTCATTCAATCCGGTGCCAATCAGAGCACAACAGGGAGGTTGTCCCCTCTGTTGGCTTGTCCTGGACACCTTCGGAATCATGGGGCTTCCTTCCACCACTCTATGCCCCTCCACTACAGCATTACATGAACTAAGCTCCTGAAGAGGAGACTTTAACTTTCCCTTCCTCCTCTCAGTACTGCAGTGCTAATTCAACACCAAAACTCACAGGCGGCTTCATGGAAAGCCCAACCCTGCCAAAATACACCAGGAGGTATTGGCAATTCAGCAGCAAGAATCCAGACATGAGGGGAAGAATGTCCGAGAGCGGGGAGGCAGGGGGGCAGCGGGAGGAGAGGAGGAAAAGGAAAGAGAAAGAGCCTTCCCCTCCTCCAGAGGGGCCCAGGCAGTACCTCCGTATCGCTGCTCCATGAGAATCATGTCCAAGGGAGATGCTGGGGCGCTCAAAAAGGCTCCTGGAAGCTTGTCTGGAGGCCGGCGAGGCCGTTAGCACAGCTGGACTCCCCTCGGAAGCAGCCACGTCATGCCTCCAACCCACGGCCCCAGGGATTCCCCAGGGCAGAGAAAGAGGAAACGGAGGCTCGTGCCACACGTGCTCCGCGGAGGTGCTGCCTCACCTAGCAGAGTGCCACATCATCTGCACCTCCTCCTCCTCCTCCTCCTCCTCGCTGTCACACACATACGCAGAGGAAGCGCTCCCTGCTCGCCTGCTGCAGCACAAGTGCCCTTTGTTTGGGCAGAAAGCTCCTCACTCCCCCTCCTAACACACACACAGACCAGAGGAAAAACTTTTCTCCTCCCCCTTCTTTTATTGACCTGTCTTTAAAATTTATTGACCTTACAGAATAAGTGTAGAATTACCCCTCTGTGCGCAAGCTCCTTGCAGAGGCCGGTAACTCATATATGAGCGATGCTCCAAGCTGGGTTTGCCCCGGGCGACTCTCCTCAGAGCTCCCCTCTGGTCCCTTTTTGAGCCAGGGATCCCACTGCTCTGCACTGCAGGTTCTTTGGCTGCAGGAGGCTGTTTGGGAGACAGCTACATGCTAAAGGGGTGCATTTGAAGCAGGTTGTCCCTTTCTGGGGACACAGCAGATCCCACCGCAGCAAAGCGTCTCTTCCAAGCAGCCACGGACCTGCTTGGTGAAATCCAGCCCTGAAAGCACCATCGGATGGAGGAGAGTCTGGATGACCCCAACTCCCTTTCAGAATCAGGCAGCCTCTGCAACCCAGTGAGACCCTGGGCACGTCACAGCTCCAGCAAAGATGGATCAGCCGCCACTTTCGCTAGCTCTGGAAAGGCATTTGTGAAACCACCCCAGCTTTTCCCATCCCTCCCCGCCTTTCCTGCCCAGAACAAGCCTGCTCTTACCTTGTGGCTGCCTCTCAGATGAATATTGGGGATCCCTCTCTTACGTTCATGGGGAGGATAGGACTGGAAATGCCTCTTTCCCCGTTTAGCCAAGTAAGCTGACGGAAGGGATTTGTCTGAATGATAGGGCTGCTGTGACTGGGAATTTGTACTCGTTTCAGGATTCAGTAAGACCTTAATCTACAGCATAATCTCTGAGCATCACATCTGTGCAAAAGACAA